GGGCGGGCGCGGCGGCTGCGCGGGGGCGGGGGAGGATGGGGCTGTGCCCCGGCGGGCCCCGCGCCGCCCGCCCGCGCTGCAGGGCGGCTTAGCTGCCGCAGCCCACGCCGGAGGGCCGCGCTGCGGGGCCGCCTCCGCGGATGAGCCGCCGGGGGGACCGGCCGGCGAGTGCAGCCGCAGGGCGCCGCAGCCGCCGTCGCCTCCTCCTCCCCCGCCGCTCCCTCTCGTCGCCGCTGCCGCCCATGGCTTCCCGGCGCCCCCGCTGACCGGCCGCCCCTCTCCTCCTCCGGAGCCGGGCCGGGGCCGGGCAGAGAAGATGGGGAACACCACGTCCTGCTGCGTCTCCTCCAGCCCCAAGCTGCGCCGGAATGCCCACTCCCGGCTGGAGTCCTACCGCCCCGAGGCCGAGCTGAGCCGGGAGGACACGGGCTGCAACCTGCAGCACATCAGCGACCGGGAGAACATCGACGGTGAGCGCGGACGGGCGCCCCGGGGAGCCCCGCATCCCTCCCTTCCCCTCCCTGCAGCGGGCTCGGCTCTGCCCCCGCGGCTCCCCCGGGTGGGGCCAGTCCGGCCGGTCCCGCTGCCCTCACGGCGTGTTCCCCCGGGCCGCACGGACGGTGCTGGTCCCCGTGCCCGCCCCCGCGGGGCTCCCGGGGATGCCGCGGTCCATCTGCGCGGGATTCTCCCTCCAGAGCTGCTCCTTGCCCCCGGGAGGGGTGTGCGGGACCCTTCTAGCGAGGGCTGGGAAGCGTCCTCCCGCCCGCATCCTTGAGCAGGGTGCAGGTTTTTGGCCCCGGGTCTGCGCTGCCGAGACCCTTCGCCCTTCAGAGTGTCGCGGGGTGGCATTATGGACAGACCCGGCGGGCTCAGACAGCCAGGGTTCGGCTTGGCCCCCGAGGGAAGCGTCCCTCGCCCTTGGCAGGGCTGGCTGTGCCGAGCTCACGTCACCTGCCGGGATGTCACCTGCCAGGCCTCTGCAGGGGTGAGCCTTTAAAGGACAAACCCAGCCAGCGATAAAAGTGGGAGAAATGTTTCCCATGACAACCTTCTCTTCCAGTGACTTTTTCTTCCCTGTTACTGCCGTGATGAGGCGCAGCGCTCTGGAATCACGAATGCCACCTTTCCTTCTCTTTCTCTGCAGTGATATTAAAAAAGCTGTATTCTTGTTGGTTTAGCAGTGACTGAATGTGCTGCCTTTTTGGCTAGCCAGAATACAGCTTAATTCTAAAGATATGGGTTGAGTTAATGTATACATGTAATTTAGTTTTTGATTAGCTGAAGTATTTAGTCCTAAAACTTTACTTGGTAAAAGGTCAGCTATCTCATGGATTAGTTCACATGGGCTGCTGTTGGTAAAAAGCCAGAAAGACGGACTTGGGTGCACTTCAATTTGCCTTCCACATTTTTCCATAGCTTATCTGATTGTGATTTTAGTACAGAATTTTATATTAAGTCAGTTCTTGAGAGTAGTAAAGTTGTGAAGCCCATAGAAGCAGATAGGTACCCTCACTGGTTTCTTTCAATGAGGTGCATTCTGGAAATACCAATGTTTTTCAGATGTCTTTGCTACATGCAGCTGAAAAATTAGACTGTAACAGGATCAGTAGGTGGAAAAAAATACATAATGGTTTGGTCTGAGAAAGCCAGGGAGATGAAAGAACCAATTGTTGATCTATGAATGATTAATTCTTCCAACATCAGTGGTGTCCAGCGTAGCAGGATGCAGCTCTCTCTGATGGTACGGATTTCTCCAGCTATACCAGCACAGACTGCAGTAAAGTTTTTGGTCAGAGATGTATGGGTTTTGTGCCTTGTTCTTAATTTGTTTGGTTTTTTGTTTTTTGGTTTTGGGTTTTTTTTAATGGATGGAAAGAAAGGCATTGGTGGAAATAGTAAGTGCATGTGTGCTTGCTAAAATGTGCATGTAATGCAGATAAGTTCCTGCATCTGAGTAGTTATTTGCAAAAAAAAAATCATTATTGGTTGGTTGTTTAACTTATTGGGTCAAGGCACATGTGTGTTCTCTCTCTCTTTTCCTTTATACTGTGGCACATTTCAAGTCTAAAGTTGTAACCTGTTGTTAGAAGACAGAAAATACCTCATGCATTATTTATTTTTAGGTTTTGTTGGTTTTGGTCTGGAACTGTTGACAGTGCAATGACACATTTTCAGATGGGCAAAGTGTCTTTAAATCTGAAAAAGAGCAAACACTTTTGGGTTTCCTTTTTCTGCCTTACTCTAGTCTCGCCCCTTTTTATGGATAAAGTCTGAGAAGTAAGTTTCTGCTGGGGAGACTGGTAGATAATAAATGTCTATTCACACGAAACAACTGGACAGACTTTGGGTAAAACTACTTTTTGAAGTGTGGTTAGTTGCAGGTCTTTTACCCTGGAGTCATAGTCACTGATGGTCTTTTGGTTAGATGGTAGACTGGTTACTAAATGTCATAAGATGATTCTGTGTTTCTGAAATTTTATTTCCTATTAGACTATCTATTACGTTTTTATTGTTAGATTGTTTGAAGTTGTATGGCATACAGATGTCTACAGATGAGACTCTAAGATGGGAAAGACCCTTCACAGTTGAGAACTCTAATGATTTTCTTACCATTTTACAAAAAAAAATAGTCTGGTTATCTGTGTCATGAAGAGAGAATGCTGGGTGTTGATTCCTTAACATTCCTGCAAGTCATGAAGTTTCTCAAATTGGCAGTGTTGCCAAATGTACTTTTTTTTTTAATTAAATAAGTGATGACAAAGACTGGTGCAGTGAAAGGAAACATTTTTGACACTTCAAATTTATATTTCTCACTGTTCTTTGAGTGAGAGCCCTTCCATCCTACTCAAGTATATGTGGCAGTGACAGGTCTTAAAGTGAAAATTCGTGTCTCTAACAAGTGTTTACCTTTTCAGTGGTACTTTTGGGAACTGTAAAAATCGTGCCATGCAGTGTCTGAGTTAATATGTTTTGTGTGGAAGTTGCTTTCAGGCTCATATGGATGGAAATTCAGGAAACATTTTATTTATTTTGAGTGGATAAAGCTGCTTGAATAAATCAAGAACTTTTAGAGCCTTTAAATAAGCTGTGGGCTGTTTTAAGCTTTAAAGAGATGCGTGGTTTGCACTGTTGCAGGCTCTGGTTTTGGCAGTATAAGAAGGAGAAAGAAAAAGAGGGAGGGATGTCAAACCTTTAGGAGTGATTTAACTGGAAGTTTTAGTACTAGTGGAACTGTTGACGTTTGCCTGTCTTATATACTTCCTAATACTCATCAAATCTGCCTTCAAAATCATGCCTTTGAATTGTCTCCTCTAATTCAACTCCATACCCAATCCATTAGCATTTTTTCAAAGAATGGCTGGAGCAATTCTGTTTCAGTAAGAATTGGTTTTATGGCAAAATGTTACCTCCACATCACTGGTACCTTGTCAGAACGATCTCAATTTCTGTAATATTTCATAGCTGTTTACGAAATGGTATCTGAAAGAGAAGGGAATTTTGACAGAGATTTGATTAGGAGGAATTTATCAAGTGACTTGTTTTAAAGAATAGTCGTGTTGAATTGACCTTTCTTCCTTTTTTTTTTTCCCCCCCAAAAATTTTTAAGAAGATGCAAAATTGCTTCTCTGAATATTGGGCAGTCACCAGAATGCTTTTTTTTCTTTCTTGCTTTCTTTTTTTTTTGTTTATTTGTACAGGCTCATGATAATGAAGAATACCTATCAGTTTTTTATGTCTTTTTCTTTTGAGGAAGAGCAAGATGTTAATTGTAACATACAGAGCTTACCGTCTGTTTTTGATGATTTATTGCCAAGGATGAGCTTCCATATTTTTCAGTGCTTCACATGTAAAAGTCGAGGAGAATTGTAGCAGTGGATTCAATACTTGCAGATTCTTACATCTGTCTGTTTGCCATCAAGACTTTTTTTTATGGCAGTGTTAATGGCAACAATAAGTAAAAATGGCTGAAAACTTTGTGTCAGATTCTGTATCTCATTTCTCATTTTATCTCATCAAATTTCTGTCTGTGCTAGCTATGTGAGCATCTTGGTGTATGCATTGTGTAAATCCTTGCTAGCTGGGATGACCATGGCCTAGACTCAACTCTTTACGTCAGCAAGTCACAGACCCAGTGGTGGTTTAACTTGTGAAAAAGCAGCATGTGCTCAGATGTGATTTCTCTGTTTGAAGCATGATTTCTATAGTCAGCTTTTCAAGTATGGAGCTGTAGTGAAGGGGCAAAAGGCAATGTCTTACCACAAACATGATGGCGTGAAGCAAAGCTGATACCATACAATGCAATTGGCCAAAAGGCTGTTCTTGAAATAGAGACTGGATGGAGAGTTCCTAGGCTATTTCAAGAAAAGACGGTTGTTAATGATGAGCCCCTCCCCTGCCTCCCCCTCCCCCCACCAAATATCTGATTTTTTTTGTTTGTTTGTTTTTCTCCCCCTTTGTAAACTTCTGCTGATGTCACTGGGTCATGCATTGGTAGCTCAGATAATGACCTGTGCGACTGTGCATCACTGATAAACATCTTCAGCCCTTTTCACCTTGGGTCAATCATGTTAATTTTTTGCTGCATAATGAACAGGCTCCTAAGAATGGATTGCTTTTTAAGAAGCCACTTATTTGTTCATTTACATATTTTTTCTCCATCTTCTTGAAACTGGCACGTGGGAATCTCTGACGTGAGATTAGTTAGTATTTGCGTATCTTTGCCTACTGGGTTTTATAAGAACTATGAGATTTAGCAAAATACAAGGAAGTTTTAAAATGTCCGCCCCATATACCTAATGGAATTTTGCTGAAAGGGAATAGTGGTGTTTTCAACAGTAGGGCCTGATGGGTTGCATGTTGTGAAGGAACTGACCTACATTTGCAAAAGTCAAGACATAAGCACTTCAGAAGCAAATTAAATATCTGCTGTGTTGCACACAGATATTTCTGCTAAAATGTGGATCGTAAAAGGATAGACCTTCTTAAAAAAAAAGTCTTATTTGGTTTGCAGAAAAGTCTCTTTCAAAAATTGTTTTGTTCCCTTAGCCAGAATTCCAGCGCAGAGGTGATCTATGTGCTGTTCAGTGCTACTGTTTGCATTACCTACCTAAGCATTTGTCAGAGGTCATGTATCAAGGTACCACTGCATTCTGGTGCATCAAAAAATTAAAAATAGAGCCTGCTGTGGCCTACATGACTGAACTTAGTCCTGTACTGCACGCTGCTAATGATGCATACTGCACAGCTTTCTTTTTTAGTCTGCTATCAGCCTCATCTGGTTATTCTGTGTGTGCCCTGCTTCTCCTAAGAGGCACCACCATGTTATACAAGGTCTTCCCTTTCACATTAAATTTATGCTGTGCATGAAGTCAGTATTTTCATATTTAGCTGTAGAAGCTTTCAGATGCACACAAGCTAAGACTAGTCATATTTGAAATAACCTCTAAAATTTTTATTAGTGCACTGCCATCTGATTTTCTTTGAAAGGGAACAAGATCAACAATGTTAGCTGGGTAAATTGGTACTTGAAACAGAATGACAAGACTTAAAATTATAGGTCTCAGAAAATGGAAGGACTACTGTATTTTGAGTTGTTTTGGTTTGTTTCCCCCCCTGCCTGCCTTTGGATTTTACATATAATAAGAATAATGTAATTAAAAGGAATGAAAACTTCTCCACTGTGTGGTCGTAGCTGGTTTACCTGATTTTATGTGTTCGTCAGACTTCCAGGGTATGTTTACTGCATCTCCAGGCCTTGCTCAGGTCAGATGATACAAAAAGCCGTGCTGAAGTTTGGCGCTCACATGATGGGACACCATTCCTGAAACATGTGAGATGCTGTTTGCTGGCACATACAGCAGCTTACTGACACTGTGAATGCCTTTTTCTGGCTGCTCTCTTTTATGTATCATGAGGCTGAAAGGGAAATAAGTGAGCAGTGCCTGGCACTACCTGATAGCTGTCCTTGCCCTGCCAGCCAGCTGCACATCAGACATAGTCTAAATATCTTCCTTGTTTAACATGTTTGCAAGAATATGAAATACACTGTACAAACTGAAAACACAAAGAATGTGTAGCCTTTCTCTGAGCTTTCTGTGTAGAAATTAATCAACATTACTTTTGCTTCTTTTCCATTCCTTTGAATTTGGATAAATAGAACTTTTAAAATGTATTGATTTTCTATGTGCATTCTGACATATGGAGTGATCTTTTTTACTTCATCCTGCAGAGTATTTAATATACGTGCCATACAACTCTGAAATGTATGTGAACAGCTAGTAAATGTTAATAAACTTTTTAAGCCTAGCAATTTATTATTTAGGTAGAATACTCCCAGCACTATGTATAGGTGGTACCTTCACTGGAGTAGTTACCACTTCCTCCATATCTTCTGTAACAGTTTTGTCTCCTTACAAACCAGCTTTAAAAGCAAATATTTCAGAATTGCTGAAATGGACTGTTGGGATTTTCATGTTTCCTGAGCTGCAACTTTTTGCACAAGTTGACGAAAATTCAGAGATGGTTTGACTGAGCTCAACTTAAACTACTTTTGTTGCTGATTTTGTAGGCCCCATATGTCACCATAACCCATCCCCTCAGCCAGTGGCTGGAGCATCACCAGCTCTTGAGCTGCTTCTGGGAGGACTGGCTTAAATTTGGAGCACTCGTTAGTCTGGACTGGGTGGAGAAAGAACTTAGTCTTCAGGACAG